TGCAGCTTACTTACCTAAGAAAAAAGGGCAGGATTTTATTCATAAACTAAGTTTGCAGGATCTAAAATGGAGTCTCGCTACAAGTCGAGCTTCAAATGGAAAGTCCAATGGAGAAAGTCTCACTCGCTTAGATAGGAGCGATATACGCAGGTCTTGTCTTGTTCTCTTTTCACCTTTCTAACTCCTCCTGCCAATGGTGCGATGGGTTCGGGTGACCTAACGAGATTAGCATAGCAGGTCTTTTTCTTATAAACGGGAAAGAAGAGGCTGGGCTTAGGAGTACTTAAGAGCAAAAATCAAGCTGCGATAGAAGTTAGGAGCTCGACTTTCTTCTATTTTTCTTCGGGTTGATTTGATCAGGAAGGAAGGGATTTCTCCTAACAATAGGAGACAGACAGATTAGATATAGAGCACTAAGCCTGACTTAAGTATTAGGGCAATCCAGGGTGAATCTCATTGTGCATCTACTTCCGCTCATCGAAAAGTCTACCTCCGACTGAATCAATATCTCGTTTTCCCTTTGCTGCCATGGAGAGCGATGTTCCGCCTCTTTCTTAAACAGCTCTCACTCATTCATTTCACTGAACCTGAACCCTTCCACCAAGAAGACAAGCGGAGCGATCAGTGTGATCAAGCGAGCTATCATGCTTTTTCTGGCTTCTGGCCTACACAGATCAGGTTGTTTTGTTTGGAGGGCGATCAGTGGGGTCCCATTTTCTATATTTGTTAAGCCTCACAGCTATTCTTTTTATTCTTTTGTCGAATCCGAGTTCTTCATGCCATGAAGACCAGCCAAGCCGAACTAAAGCTCCATAACCTGTTCTTCCTGTTAAACCCTTCTCGTCCTGACTTTGCTTTCAATGGACCCCATANTTGTTTTGTTTGGAGGGCGATCAGTGGGGTCCCATTTTCTATATTTGTTAAGCCTCACATCTATTCTTTTTATTCTTTTGTCGAATCCGAGTTCTTCATGCCATGAAGACCAGCCAAGCCGAACTAAAGCTCCATAACCTGTTCTTCTTGTTAAACCCTTCTCGTCCTGACTTTGCTTTCAATGGACCTCATCNTCATGCCATGAAGACCAGCCAAGCCGAACTAAAGCTCCATAACCTGTTCTTCTTGTTAAACCCTTCTCGTCCTGACTTTGCTTTCAATGGACCCCATATATATCCTTCCCAGCGACCATGCTTGTGTTGACCAGCCAAGCCGATGTGATTCTGTCTCTTCCTTTCCTATTATCACTAACATTAAGATTGACTCTCTCTTCTTGCTCATTTCACTCCTTTCTGTGAAGAGCACACTAGGCACCAAGTCGCAGTGACAACGCCTTCCAGCGGTAGTCCTACGGTAATCAAGCAAGAACAAAAAAGCATTCATCAGAGGGAGCGTGGATTGCTTTCAAGTCAGGCAGATAAGTGCTCCTTTAAGACCATTGATTGTCGCTCTTTGAACAGGCAGAGATGAACACACAATTCCAACGGTAGCAGGAGGAGAGACTTTTGAACCTGACACATCCATTGCACAATCCATTGGAGCCANTCCAGCGGTAGTCCTACGGTAATCAAGCAAGAACAAAAAAGCATTCATCAGAGGGAGTGTGGATTGTTTTCAAGTCAGGCAGATAAGTGCTCCTTTAAGACCATTGATTGTCGCTCTTTGAACAGGTAGAGATGAACACACAATTCCAACGGTAGCAGGAGGAGAGACTTTTGAACCTGACACATCCACTGCACAATCCATTGGAGCCGTAGTTCCGGGATTGGATTGCAAAGGGAGCGGGAATGCTTTGTAGCTCAATGAAGTCAAAGCCCGTTGACCTAGGAAGGATCCATGGAGTTCTCTCTATCCTCCCTTTGCTTGAATTGGAATTTTCCAAAAAGGTGCTTCGCACTATATGCTGGTTCACCTGGTCAAGCTCTCAGCTAAAAAAGATTCTAAGACACCATTCAAATAAAATCAAATCAAATCAAAAGGCTACTAAACTTCACTTCNGGAATGCTTTGTAGCTCAATGAAGTCAAAGCCCGTTGACCTAGGAAGGATCCATGGAGTTCTCTCTATCCTCCCTTTGCTTGAATTGGAATTTTCCAAAAAGGTGCTTCGCACTATATGCTGGCTCACCTGGTCAAGCTCTCGGCTAAAAAAGATTCTAAGACACCATTCAAATCAAATCAAATCAAATCAAAAGGCTACTANGAAATTCACCCGAGTAAGACCGACTTAAAGTGGATATAGTTGATCCCTATAAAATCAAAGAAAATCAAAGAAAATCAAAAGGCTACTGAACTTCACTTTCAATAGCGTTTGCGTGAGCTATCGCTTACTCAACTTGCACAAAGCTACTGAAGTAGCTTTGCCTTCGCTACAATTTCCTGCGAAACTTGCATAGGAGCTCCCTGTTAGGGCCTTTCATGCTCTCCATAGACATAGAAAGAAGCACAGGCCTCACACCGGATTCAGGCTCTTTTTAATGTCCTTTCACTTTCCTGTCCCTATCTAGTCCACCAGCCAAGCCCCCCATATAGCTTATAATTCCAGTCGATCCAACTTTGAAGTCGGAGAAAGCTTTTTGTTAACAAGTCGGAGTTCGCCTGCCGCTTTCTATCTGTCTAAGTAAGTCGAACGAAGCCGTTAAAGGAGCGTTTGGAAAGAGCACCAAGGAGGAGGAAGAAGAAATCGGAGAAAGACAATTTGAAAAATCTTATCCAAGTCTCGTGGGGCTAACTAGCAGTGACCAGGACCCGTCAAGCGAACAAGCCCAGTTGAACAAAGAAAAGTAGGCCTGTCAAGAAGACAAGCTCCACGCTCAAGCTCAAGCTGTATCTCCTTCCTTCCCAACCCTGCCCTTTTAGCTCTTAGGTAAGTAAGCTCCTTGCTCTTTCTCCGGAAGCTAATCCACCCCAATACAACCTGTCTGGCCTTTCACAAATCTTTGCCTTTCTACCTTCCCTATTTACTCCATGAATTAGCGTTGACCTGTCTTTTCAGCGTAGAAACTTGCAGGTTCGGGAGCTGAATCATCGTAGAAAAAAAAAAGCAATCCTCATGATTTGCGTGGGAAGAATGGGTTCGTCAAAACCGGGTGGAAAGGGAAGGGACCAAGCTCAGAGTCAGAGGCGAGTTGACAGACAAAAGCTTGGATGTTGTGATTCCGCCTTTCCAGTAGCGAGTGAAACTCCATTCATGGGCAGAAAGGGTGTTGAGGAAACCTTCGTCAGGAGGTTTCTCTTTGAGGAATCGCCGTTCTTCGCTCAAAATAATTCAGGAGACCTCTGTTCCCCTTTTTGCCTGTTTAATAGCTTGAGACGAGTACAATGAGGATCAGAACCGGGCAACCCCCTTTAGTCAAGCCCAGTTGAAATGCCAGTCAGGAAGGCTCTCGGAAGGTTAGGAAGGACAGGGCTAAGTAGCGCCTCCCTTCCCTTTGCTTTCAATCTGTCTTGTGCCACTCCAGCTTTCACTCAAGCCATTCTTTGAACTTACTTAATAGGGGCGACCTTCACTCTTCTTCTCGCTTCCTAACCCTAAAAGCTCACTCCTTTTGGTGTTGCTCCACGATCTGAAAGTGGAACTACGAGATAAAGAAGCGGCGGGCTGATCTGACCTGCGCGTCTGCCTTCCTTTCGTCACTACGACTTGGTTTCGAAGGAAGGCTTTCACTAGACCAAAGACCTCGAAAACGCCTGCCGCGAGAATTCACAGGTTCGTTTATTTACCAGCACTAGTTCGTACCTTAGCAAGCAAGCTGCCGCGACCTCCGGTCTGCAAGCACCTCTGGTCCTAAGCACCCCCGGTCTCCAGGCTTAAGGCAACGGGGAGACAAGCTTGAAAGCCACACTCGCACACGACACTTGCTTCTTTCTTTCCGACTTGGTGCTTTCAGTCCTGTCGAAATTCTTTTTTTCCACTGATTTGGTTTGTGTAAGCCTTCAAGCCAAGTGAAAATGGAGAGCGTTTTTCACTGATTTGATTGGTAGATCGGTCTGGTTCTTGCTTTAGTTTCTTTCTTGCGCACTCAACCATCCCCTGGTCAAGCTCTGG